ATATAACTTTCGATGCTACTTAAAAAGCCTTTATCTAATATGTACATGTGTTATCATCATATTCGAAAGTTACAGCAATATCAATTTACAAGAAGATCTAAATAATGGATTAATAACTAAGACCGCTATAAACAATGAATTAATAACCAAGAGAGATTGATAATAAATTTGTAATCTCAATAGTTTGACTAAGGAGATAGAGAAAAAATCTGTAATATCTCAATAGTATAACATCACATATTCGTGTTGAGTCTCTAGAAAATCATATTTATTTATAGGCAAGAGTAAAGGGTCTAAGATAAGTAACTAAGAAATCCGATTATAATTTATATTATAATCAGATTTATTTTTATTGATCGATAATAATAATCAAAATCTAATCATATCTATAATATATCTTACATAATTAGACTGAGCCTTATAATATAACGTTTTTTCACTTTACTCATTAATTAGTAAGATGTTAAAATAAATAAAATTAAAATAAATAAAATAAAAGTTTATATTAAAATAGAAGTATATGTATAAATATGAATTGGATAGTAGAAACAAATAATTTTAATTATATAAACAAAAATATTAATTATAATATCTACTAAAACATGCATCATTATATCTTTTATGAGAGCAAACCCAATCATAAAATCGTATTTTTTCAAACACTTTAGGTCATAAGATTTTAGTAAATGGATCAACAATCAATATCATATTTCTCAAGTTCTTAATTAACATTAATTATTTCTGAACTATTTTCTCTAACCATCAAGTGCTTTATACCATAATGCATAGAATTACTAGAATATTTACTATTGTTAGAAAAAAAAATACTATAATATAACACAGCATTTTCAACGATTTGACAATTGAGTCTGATTACACCCATACGCATGGGTCTCATCAATAATGCTCCGATCGTCTATAGCCTGCACACCACTCACAGTGGCATGGTTGTTCTCACGAGGTTAATCGATAACCTCATTATCATCACATCATGCTGTTGCGCCCATACGTAGTTGTGCATCGACTAATGACCACACCATCACCGCGCTATGACAATGTGCCCATGCGGGACTATACACACGCACTTCCTGGTGACCCCTATGGTCATCGTGGCATGTGGCTATGCCCATACTTCTGCCTACATAGCCATTGACCTTTAATATCCAATAGATGTCAATTACAGCCAACAAATGCCATCGCAACGAAATCGCTACAATGGCTACATACGATAACTCTATTGTAGTTACCATAACTATCGCAGACAACGACACTACTACAACCACCTATGGCTAAAGTAGGCCAATCATCATAAAGCGACTATACTTCATGCTGCTTTCGCTACGTACATAGCCATTGCCCACGATTGGATTGGCGACCATCACAGGTCATCGCCCTCAACAATGCTATTACCGACAATAAACTATCAATAGTGATCCATCGATCATATTACTCACAAGCATATGATATGGCAGACTAGATATAAAAGCAAAATGACAAACAGATCATTCAAGCAACGTAAGTCAAAACTAAATAATATATTTTCGTAAGTGAATTATATTGATAAATAGATTTAGGGTATTTGATTTAAAAATATGACTCCAAAATCAATTATAAGTATAAAACTATAATTATGTTGTTACACAAAAAACTTTAATGTTAAAAATAAAAATTAAATAATAATAGATCAAATATATGATACGTACCTTTCGATGATACTCAAGCGCACCATCGTTGGATCTAAAAGCTATAGTGATATCGATCGATAAGGAGAAATAGACTTGTATTTTTCACTCTTTCTATCTTTCATAGGAATGTTATGAGTGATGGATTAGGGACTATGTGTAATCACCGATAATTTTCTTCCTCAACATAAATTAATTATTATAAATAATATATTATTTTATTTAAATTATTAACTTCCTTGTTTGTATAGTATGGTTAAGGAAAATGATTAAAATTGATTTTTTAATCATATGAACAAGTTAAGAATTTTACTAATCAATTAAATTATTAATTTATTTATTTCCTATTGAGTAATGTGATTTTTAGAAAGTAAATAGTTAAATTTTTTTTTTTTATGTATGAATCATAAGAAATAAATATTATATTTTTATCTTTATGTATGAAAGTAAAATTAAAAATAAAATTAAATTATTACTTTTCTTTCGGGGAGATCTTATCTCCTCTTATATATAGGGGACTTGTCCTCTCTTGTTCCTCACCAAGCTTGATAGTGGGAGGATTGAGAAGAGGAATTCTCGAGGAGAGATAAGATTCTTTATTATTTTTTAATTAGTTTTGATTCATGGTTTAAAATTTGTGATATTACCATTGTTATAATTTTATGATGCATAATAATATTTTAATTTTAAAATTTTATAATTAATAAATAATGATAATTGGTATGTAATATTAGAATGATTATTTGACTTAGCTTAAATAAATTATAAGATTGATTTAATTATTAAAATTATTATTTTTATATTAATATAATAGTTTTAATTTATTTAATTAGATATATCTATATTTTAAGAATTATGTGTAAATATTTATGATTTAATAAGTTTTAAATATAAGACCATGAATTTAAATTATTTAATTTATATATTTGAGTTATTCTTTAATAATTTAAAATATTAAAATCTAATTTAATAAGAGGAATCTAATTGGAGTCTTACCCGAGTCAAGTTGATCTACCATACCAGGGTGACCCAACCCTTATGGCAAGGTATGACCCAATCTACATGGCAATATACGACATAACCCATGTGACCATGTATAACCTAGCCTATGTGCCCATGTAAGACCTAGCCAATGTGGCCAGGTACTACCCAACGCATATGACAATATAAACTCATCCCATGTGGCCAAACATGCATAGCCCATATGACTATGTATAACTCAACCCATGTAACTAGGTATGACCCAGCTGATGTGGCAAGGTATGACCCAACTGATGTGGCTAAACATAGTCCAACCATGTAGCCAAGTAAAACCCAATCCATGTGGTCAAGGATAATCCAACTTTTATATCTATATATGACATAACCCCCCCGTGACCTAGTTTAGTGGTAAGGCTTAGTCCAGCTATATGACTGGTATTAGACACATTATCATCTCTCTATATTGGTCATCATACCTCAACCCAACCCGCTACTTGGGGTAGATATGTACAACGTATGTGACCTATCCAAGACTTAGGTGGGTCGGTTCGATTTGAGTTAACACTATATGATATAGTCTAATTTCTTTTTCTTTTATTGGTTTGGACTCGTATATTGATTGAACCAAACTGATCAAGTTAGGTCGATTTAGGGTGATTATAGACCAACTTAACTAGTTCAAACCTATATGACATAATTAAAATTAATCAAATCTAAATTAGACCAAGTGATTCTAGATTGGTTTTATAAGGATTCGAGGTTGGTTCCATTGGATCATAATTGAATTAAGTTTGGTTTAAGCACTTGGGCTATTCCAACTAGGATTCTGATTGATTTAGGATTATTGAGAGACCGATGCATTATATTTTTATGATTTGATGAATATAAAAATTTTATTTAAAGATATCATTTGAAAATAATTATTGATTTTCTACTTTTTAAATTTATGATATTGATGTGATTATTATCATATATATATATATATATGTATATATATATATACTATTGGTTTATGTTAGAAATATAAAATATGAAAAGAGCTACAAGCTCATTATAATGTGGAGCCACCAATAGACATAGTCTAGTAAATCATACATCAAGCATGATCCCTCGTAATATTTTATCATACTACTTCTTGGATATATGCATGCATGAGTGGCTGAATATAATGAATGATACATTATTTTGTTTAGTGAGTGATTGAGATATGTTATAAGTGAGTGATATATGTCATTGAGATATGTTATAAGTGAGTGATATATTATTTTGTTTAGTGTGTAAAAAATATTATTATTTTTTTGATATACGAGTTTCATAATTATTTGATATGTTATTATTTTTATTAAATTATTAAAATTTATATATGTTTCATAAATATTAAAATTATTTTTATGATTTTTTGAAAGTTTCTACATGACAATTAATGTGTTTATATCTTATATTTATTTTTAAAGTAATCTACTATTTTATAGTAAGTATGAGACCTCGGTGGAAAAGACTTTTTTTAGTCCTACCAAAAAGATATGATCTTTTTCTGATAAAACTAAATATTTATTATTATAAATATAAAAATTTAAATTTTAAAACAATTTTTTTTTATAAATTATGACTATTGAAATAATAGTTTTTTTTTGTATAATCTGGAATATAACACTGTAGAGATTGAGAATAGATATGTAGTCTTAATAATTTTATGCAGAGATAGAGATCTATAATCTCTCAATAATATCACATAATGTATCCATACTAAGTTAGTAGAAGTTCTTATATATGAGAGCAAAGGGTCTATGATATAATTAGGAGAGTCAATCTCATTAAAATCATCTCTTAATGAATCTTTCTATAATTAAAATTTCTTTCTATTAATCGATAACCATAATCAAAATCTAATATATTTATAATATATCTTACACAATTAGATAGGATCATATAACTTGATAATAATATTTTTAGCTTAAGCAAAAAAATAATAATATCAAGTACACTTTTCTCTCTTAGTATATGTATTAGAAAGCCCGATTAATAACAGTTACTATGAGAGTTTTTAGATGAAAATAAAGGATTTATGATATAATTAGAAGAGTCAGATTTATCAAAATTATCTTTTACATTTTTTATTATAATTTATTTTTTTTATTGATCAATAATTATAATTAAAATTTAATTATATTTATAATATATTTTACTTATTTAGATAGAATCAGATAATCTAACAGCTTCTCCCATTTTTAGCCTTATCAAACGACGAAACACCGAAACGCACCTCTCTCTCTCTCTCTCTCTCTCTCTCTCTCTCTATATATATATATATATATTGCCGAGCTCAGTTAATAGCAGGGGAGCTGTTCTCTGCCTCTTTCACCCTGCGAGTCCCCACGCCTGCAACGCTGCCGACCTCCCTTGTTCGGTCCCCAATTCCCCGAAGTCCCTCGCAAAGGACGGCCTTGAGCCCGCCGGGCTTGTCAAGGCGCCACCTTTCCTCCCATCGATTCCTCTACAGGTGTCTCAGCCTCTCACCTTGATGTTCCCCAGCTTCTCTTGAGATGCTGATGACACTTGGTCGATGGAAACTGCCACAAGGCTGGATTTAGGAGCTTTTCCCAGTCTCTTTGCCCTTGGAAACAGCGCATAACGAGTTTTTTCTGCGTTGGTTTTCATCGGATTTGTTGCGGTGAAGTTGAACAGCCTCAAGCTCTGTAGATTTCCTCTTGAGGTCTTTTATCCGGGTGTAGGCTTACAGATGATCCTTTTTGGGGTGGTGGGCATCTGGAGTTTAAGTTGAACCGAGGAGGATGCTCGCTTTATCTCGATTCGTTTCTTTTGTTCGCTTGTGGTATCTCTTCTTAGCTGAGATCGGTGATTGAGATCCTTGGTGATCAAAGTAAAGAGAACAGGGACACTGAGGAGTTGTGCTGAGATTGGCGCTGTTCCAATGGCGTCCGGGTCTGTAGATGAGGAGATGAACAAGGGGAGCATGTGGGAACTGGATCAGAATCTTGACCAACCCATGGATGAAGAGGCTGGAAGACTGAGAAATATGTATCGAGAAAAGGTGTGATTCAATTGCTCTGAAGATTTATCATAGATAGCTTATGACAGACTTGTGTGTGGTGGAATCTTTTTGATTGCTTTGCTATTTATTATTTTGTATCATAGATAAAAAATTCAATCATCTTTCATCATTTGGCATCTTCTTTTCGCGTTGTTGAATATTTTACTTTGGCAAAAATGTGTACTCTAGGTGAATCTTACCAAAACTTCATTCCATTTAATTGAGGAACATGATACCTAATAATTAGTCTTAATCTTTTCTGTCATAAATCATGTCGAAAATGCATAAAGTTGATATATGCAGGTAATGTTGAACTGTGTTGGGTAATTTGGCAGCTACCTGTTTTTTGTTGTGAAGATTTGGGTTTCCGTTTGCTTTTTCATTCTTTTTAAGAATTTTCAATTTCTGATATAAAATCTTCTGGGAAAAGCTGCTCTTGCAGCTCAGAGCATTTTTCCTTTGTTCTTTTTGTAACAGACACACAGTTATTGACCATCGCAAACTCTGCATAGCATAAAGATCTCTCTTAGATTATTCTTTTACATCATTTCCTTGAGCAAGTGCTAATCAAACTAATGTGCTAAATGTTTTTGTATGTGCAGAAATTCTCAGCCATTTTGGTAATGAGACTTGCATTTCAGAGTCTTGGGGTTGTATTCGGAGACTTGGGAACATCACCATTGTATGTATTCTACAATACATTCCCTCGTGGCGTTGAAGATGCAGAAGATGTAATTGGAGCTCTCTCTTTGATCATATACTCGCTCACACTCATACCACTTCTTAAATATGTTTTTGTGGTTCTGAGAGCAAATGATAATGGTCAAGGTAAGCTATCACTGGACTTTTTAGTTATGAAGTTGCTAGATCTACTATTACATGCGCAACTGGATGTATTGTTTTTTGTATAACCTTGTTACAATGTATGTCTTCTAAAGAATCATGGTGTTTTTTCAAATATGTGAAAGATGATTGGAAAACCAGCATCAACAAGCCATGCAGATAAAAACATGGGCATCTAGATTTGAAGGAAATTTGCAAAATATTATGCAATAAGCGAAAATTCAGGAATGAAATTGGTCTTCCTTTTCCTAATTTTTTGAAATGGTTACATTATGTACTATATTATGTACAGTAATAATGAAATTGCAACAGAAACAGCATGAATGGAGAAATCACAATGAACAACAGTTGAACTAATTGGCACTAACATGGACCAAAATCCCATTTAGGTTGTGCACAAGTCTAGTTAGATTTCCACCAAGGACAAGAGACTTATGCAATTGTGAATAAGTTGATGCATTAAAAAGAGAAAAAAAAGAAGGATTAAGCTTGTAAATAAGTTTATGTTGTCTCATTGACCAACATGCAGCAGATAACCTTCAAGCAGAATCAGAAGATTTGACAAATGCCTTATGTAAGAGAATCCCTGGGAACAATATGGTTGCTGCAAAGTGAGTCATGATTTGTGTGATGTGATATATGACTGCAGAAGTTCAAATTTATAATACAAATAAAATCTAGGATAAGACAATATTAAAGGTAAAGTTTGTTCTTTTTAGGTAGTTGAGGATGTGATACCTGTCAACCTATAACTCTTCATTGTCGATTGAAGTAACAACAAGATAGATACAGTAGAATGTCTAGGACTGTGTCAATCCACATTTCACCTCAAGAACACTGGTCTACCAAAGAAAGATTATTCCTATTGTATTAACATGAGTTGGTAAAAATATTTGATACTAGTAGCAAGTCTATAATGTTGGCGCTTTGCCAAGAATATACAGTCTCAAAATTTCTGCAGCACTGCAGGAGTTTTCAGAGATGGAAAAGCTGATTTATTGCTTTGTTGGTGTGGTTGGTCATGCCAATTAAGTAATATTATGTTACAGTTTTGCAGATCATATTTCAGGAGAAAAAACCAATACTAATAGGTATTTGTTTAATGCTTGGGAAGATACTCCTGTCTGTACTACCATGAATGGTGGGAGTTGATGCTAGTATATAATACTGATGGTGCTAACCAAGAATTTAGGCTCTCATCAAGGTGAACTCTGGTGAATGTCCATAATTATGTGTTCTTATTGTGCGCATGCTTGGTCTTACTCCATCTTAGTTTCTACTCTCTGGAGTTTCATCAATGTCAAGAAATATTTCAAATCAAATAAAATGTTGAAGTTACATCAAGAAGTTTTGATCCACTCTAATCTTTTTGTTCAGAGCAACTTCACAGGAAAAAAAATTGACTTTATGGTTTGTGATTGTTATGCTGAGTGTACAAGACTGTAACTGTTTTACATGGCCAAGATTTAAATTGCTGCTGATATGCTTGACACTAATTTTGAAACTATCCTGCCAAAAATGATGATTCACCTTGATGTAAAAAAAGAAGGCTTAGAAGAAAGGAAACTTCAGCATCATTAGCGACTGCAGTAATGCTGTTTATGTATTTGGTTCTATGACTGACCCTTATGTATCCATAACAAATGTAAATTCTTGTTATATGCAGGTGGCACGTTTGCTCTTTATTCCCTACTCTGCCGTCATGCCAAAGTAAACACTATTCCTAACCAACATAGAACTGATGAACAGCTGACAACATATAGTCGTCATACGTATGCCGAGAACTCACTAGCTGCGAAAGTCAAGAGATGGTTAGAGTCACACGCCTATAAAAAGAATGCTCTTCTTATTCTTGTCCTGGTTGGCACTTGTATGGCAATTGGTGATGGGATTCTCACTCCTGTCATCTCAGGTGAACTCTTTTTTCCCATATCTTCTATCTCTTAGGGGACCCTTTTTCTATTTTCTTTCTCTAGGGGAGCTTTTTACTATATCTTTTGTATTAAAATCTGTTCTTTCTCTTTCCTATTTGTCTGCAGGATCTTAGTTCTTTTTTCTGAATAATTTGTTCTTAGTTCTACCTAATCACTGAATGTATTTTCGTCTCATATATTGATGATTGTTGATATATTGCTCCTCAAATTTAAATCGTGTCCTTTATGAATTTTGTGGTTGTTCATTTGGTGGCTCATGATTTCCTACCAAAAGACTTGCATCTGATGTGGCATTTTCCCTCACTTTGTTTGTATGATAATTAACCATCGTTTATACAATGTTCTTCATTAATTTCTGCATTATGTCACTTTTTTTGGATAAAACAGTTAACTCAGCTTATGTTGTTTGGTGCAAGTTTGGCAAATGCTAATTAGACCTGCCATGATAGATTTATTTTTTGAATTCTAGAATTTGATCATTAGAAACAATTCCTGTGATCTTCTAACTTGCACAGTGTTTGTTTTGCAGTTCTTTCTGCATCAGGCGGCATAAAGTTTGACCACCCAAAAATGAGTAATGGTATATCTGCAACCTTGAGACCGTTTTTCTTTTCTAATTTTTTTGTCTTTATGCACTTTTATTTGCATAGATGTTTATGAGTTAACTTGTCACTCTTAGTTTTAGTAAAATCCATCAATTACTATATCTTACTCTTAGTTTTAGAAAAATCTAGTGATGATCATATGATACAGTCCTGTACAAATTAGGTCTAGATTGTTACTTCATTCCCTTTTCTGGAACCAAATGATGAGTTTTATAACAAACATAATAGCAGATACCCTAAGGCATCCCTATCAACTGAAAATAGAAAATTTGCAAACGTTCTCTAGAAAAGTTAACTGAAAATACATTAGTGCTTTTCGATTTATCTGCATATGTGTTTCTTTCTGTCAGAACACAGATTTTGTATGGATAACTGTTTGTTCTTCCTCATATCTCAATGTTTCAGATATCGCCGTGCTTTTTGCGGTGGTCATATTGGTTGGTTTGTTTAGCATGCAACACTACGGTGTTGATAAAGTTGGATGGCTTTTTGCTCCTATTGTGCTCCTCTGGTTTCTGTTGATTGGAGCTATTGGTGCTGTCAACATATGGAAACATGATAGTTCGGTTCTGAAGGCTTTCAATCCAGTTTACATATACCGATACTTTAGACGAGGGAAGCGTGAAAGTTGGATGTCACTAGGAGGAATTTTGCTTAGTATAACAGGTTGGCTATTTGTTAGACTCTGGCATGTGACTCGCATTGATTATATACATGAGATGACTTCAGTATATTCTGATTTTGTTTTTCAGGAACAGAAGCATTATTTGCTGACCTGTGCCATTTCCCAGTATTGGCTGTTCAGGTAATAACCAGTAGTATCATCTAATGAACCTGATCAATCTCTCATAGTTTCTGTTGCACTAATACTATATTTTCTTGCAGATTGCATTCACCCTGATTGTGTTCCCTTGTCTTCTTTTAGCATACACTGGGCAAGCTGCATATCTTGTTCATAACACAGAGCATGTGTCTGATGCTTTCTATCGGTCCATTCCAGGTCCTTACTCTTAATGTTCATTTCTTTGTTTTTTTATATTACTATATTGTTATTAATGTAGCGAGTGGATGGTCACATTTCTTTTATTATTCAAGATGGCATATACTGGCCCATGTTTATCATTGCAACCGCAGCAGCAATTGTTGCTAGTCAAGCCACGATATCTGCAACATTTTCAATAATCAAGCAAGCTCTTGCACTTGGTTGTTTTCCGAGGGTCAAGGTTGTGCACACATCAAGGAAGTTTCTCGGTCAGATATACATTCCGGATATCAATTGGGTTCTTATGATTCTCTGTATAGCAGTCACTGTTGGATTCAAAAATCAAATTCAGATCGGAAATGCATACGGTAAGCTTGCTCCAACTTTGGTAATGTGTGCTTTATGTGCATCATGCTACATGTTCTTGCTTGCCACCTATTTTGTGTCTTCTCAAAAAAAAAACCAGTCTACTTTGTAGTTATGTTGCCAAAGAATAATGATGCAATGATTGTTTCATAAACAGACAAATTCTTGAAATAGCTGTTGGCACATAACCATACTAGTTTCTATAGCTCACTGTAAATCTCTCAGTCATCCCTCTATTATATACTTCTGCCTAACACCAATCGGTATCTTTTTAGTGTTCACTCTGTAAGCATGTTAATTTTCATGATCGGAATGTAGAATAGATGTATCATGCTACCATCCAGTTCTGATACTATGATTAAGTGGACATTGATTGGTACACCATCCTTTTTTGTATCATCAATTATCACAAAAAATAAGGTCACAGGTATTTGTCTGTCGATTACAATGAAGTATGATTCTATTGTCAATTATCAAAAAACAATGTGGTCATAAGTACTTGTTTATCAATCGAACAAAAGTAGTATGACCATAAATGCTTGTTTGTCAACTAAAACAAGAAAAGTATTAATATGATCACAATTACTTGTGGGATTACTGTTTGTAATCACTCTCTGAAATCTGGAAAATTTTCTTTCATATAAAAACAGGAACTGCAGTCGTGATCGTAATGGTGGTGACGACATTTCTTATGATCCCAATTATGCTGTTGGTCTGGCGGAGCCATTGGATCCTCGTCTCCATCTTCACTGCTCTATCATTGTTGGTGGAGCTTCCATACCTGTCTGCTGTGCTATTCAAGATAGATCAAGGTGGTTGGGTACCTCTTGTCATCGCTGCAGCATTTCTCATCATAATGTATATTTGGCATTACGGCACAGTCAAGCGATACGAGTTCGAGATGCATAGTAAAGTATCCATGGCCTGGATTCTTGGCCTTGGCCCCAGCCTGGGCTTAGTTCGTGTCCCTGGAATTGGCTTTGTATACACTGAGCTGGCCAGCGGTGTGCCACACATCTTCTCTCATTTCATCACTAACCTTCCTGCCATCCACTCGGTCGTCGTATTTGTTTGTGTCAAGTACCTTCCAGTCTACACCGTGCCGGTGGAAGAACGGTTCCTCGTGAAGAGGATCGGGCCAAAGAATTTCCATATGTTTCGCTGTGTTGCAAGGTATGGATACAAAGATCTTCATAAGAAAGATGATGACTTCGAGAAGATGCTCTTCGATAGCCTCTCTCTCTTTGTTCAATTGGAGACCATGATGGAAGGATATTCTGATTCGGATGAGTATAGCTTGTTGACACAGCAACAGATGATGGAGAATGGAGACGATAACACGCTCTCGTCCAATGTGGATTACAGTTGCTCATCTTATGATATCCAACCGGCTCAGTCTCAAGGAAGCAATATAGTGAGGTCATCAAGCCAGACAACTCAAACCATCAGCGACGAATTGGAGTACTTGAACAGGTGCAAGGAGGCCGGGGTGGTGCACATTCTTGGGAACACGATGGTAAGGGCTCGTAGGGAGTCCATTATCGTGAAGAGGATTGCTGTGGATTACATCTATGCTTTCCTTAGGAGGATCTGCAGGGAGAATAGTGTGATCTTTAATGTTCCACATGAAAGCCTATTGAATGTGGGGCAGATATATTATATATAGTTAACTTGTCCAAATATAGGTGTTTTTTGAATGCCCAATAATTAAGATCAGATCAGTGAAAGTAGTAGGGCTTCTTGTAGCTCACAAGCTTTGCCTGATATTTCTGATCATGATTAAAGATATTGGTAGAACACTTGAAAGCTAGAGCAACTTTCAATTTTTTTTTCTTTTTTCAGTATGTCGATGTGGCGTGGTGTGTATAGTGTAATGAAATTATAATGATTCTTTTAGAGATTGAAGCATGTTTCAAATAAGAGAAGAAGAAAGGAAGAAAGATTTATGGAATTCTGCCACAAGCTTCAACTTTGTAGAAGAAGTTTGTTGAGTTCTGATGGCATCATGCTACTGTGGAAAGAAGCTTACACTTGCATTGATGAGGATCAAAATTACTATAACTAAAGCCTTCAACATGGAAAACAACAAAAAAAATTTCACCATAATCATTGTATGACTGGTTTGAGTAGCAATTCCATTTGTGGTTGAGGCATGACTCTGCTGATATCTAGAGCAAGTGTTTCCAAATATAACTTTTGACTCAGAACTCCCAAATTCTGAAGGTAGACACAGCCACCATGAGTGCAAGCATCATCATCTCCAAAATCTACACCATGCTTCAAATAGTAGAATGAATGCTTCTTGTCAAGTTCAAACAAGCAACTAGTCAATCACAGTAGAAAACCACAGATGGCCAGATGTTTGAACTAAAACAGTAACAATTGATCTGGTAAACCACAACATCACCCGGAAAAAAAGCCTCAAACTAACCATCAGTCAAGAGAACTACTGAAATAAAAATCTCACAGCAAAGGCCACTAAAGATCATTGCATTCTTAGTTATACAACTTTAAGTTAATAATGCTTCTTTTCCCGTCAGCAGTTGAAAAATGAAAAACTTCACAATGGCTTGGCATACCTTTTCTTTCTTTTCTTTTTTTTCATTTTTCTGCTGAGGACTAACACTATCAGTAATAATAACCATCTCGCACACCGACATGTTTAAGAGTTGTTTGCTATTCTGTCAGACATGATTGCTCGTAGCTATCCATCTATATCACACTCAGTCACTTTCAGGTATAGGCTGGTGCTGCTGGGGATGTGGCTGAGGTTGCTGAGCCTGAGGGAGCTGCCACACATATGCTACCGAGTGAGGCTGTTGAGCAGCATATGCTGCTGAGGCAGCCGTTTGATCAATAGGCTTTCCCATGATCACTCCGGCACCTGGCATCTGATTTTGTGCTGGCACATAATAATAAGGAATCGAGTCAGCAGAACCACCAACAGTGGGCAAAGCAGCTCTCAGAATCCCAAGGCCGTCATCCTTCAACTCATCCCTGGGAACTATATCGACCAAAAAGTCAAATATGTCAGTCCTGGTTACAGCAGCTGCAATGTCATTCTTCTGCAGCGTTCTCCTTTTATTCTCCTCGGTGTGGATCCATGCTCTCAGTGTCAGCTCCAAAATGAACAACTCGCATGCTTTAGCAAACACTACAGGAGCCTCAGACGAGATCATACGGACATCCTCATCAGCTTTCATGATCTTCTTTATTCGTGCCAGCGGCAGGCTATGGTTCCTGAAATCACTGGTTTGTTCTATCTCTAATGTCTGGTTATCCCAGAATGCCTGAAGCTGTTGCTGCTGATGTTGCTGTTGTTGGTGGTGGAACTGCTGGACCTGCTGGTACGCAACCTGGTGCTGGCTGGCAAGCTGGGTTTGGTTTGTGGTGAATGCTGAAGTAGGTGGTGTTGGTAAAGTTCCAGCCGCTGCTGGAGCTCCAGTTACTATAGAAGCTGGTTGGTAAGCAGGGGCAACATATGCTATTTGGGCAGCACCAGTGACAATTCCCATCACAGGCTGCAGCGGTTGGGTTGACTGATCCATGACCAGAACACTCCTCCCAGTTTCTTTACAGTTCTGGGCCAGCCATGACTGTAAGATAAGAAAAAATAATCAGAGAAATTCTAATAAAACCATGAAATTACAGTAAAGAGACCAGCTACCAATTTGATGCTTGCAGCCATGAGAAGTCAGTAATAAAGTAAAAAAATTAAAGTTTATACATTTAAGTCTTGTAGACAATTCAAGAATGACTTTTGTACTACAATACAAAAAACAATGCACATAAGGTTCTGTGTGATAGTAAAACATAGCTACAATGTCAAAGCAACCTCAACCTGTAATTACGAGCTTCCCATATTTCATCCTGCAGTTTTGCTTATGGACTGGTGGACTTTGTAACTCTCAAGATATTCTAGGATAGTACTTCAGTAATACTAGGCCACAATCCTTCCAAAACATTTCTTCTCTAGTCGTGTGATGTGTTAGGTAATGTACACCAAAAAATACAATATTATATTCCAAACGATACACAGCACTCCATTTGTCAGATGAAAATTAAACTTGAAAAAGATGTCCAGTAATCCATTAGTTTAAACATGAAACTGACCGAGTAGGCAATCTTTGCCAGGCTATAACTGCAAATTTTCTCATCTTAAATTACAATACAATATATGAAATTTTTTTGAGAAGGAATCATCTAAACCTACCCAAGAATTTAAATATCAATTTGATACCAATTTTGGCAACCAAATGGACTGATGCAGTATTAGTATACTAGGCAGCATACAAACTTGTAACGCCCAATCTTAGTGAATAAAGTTCAAAATCTAACCAAATGGTATTACACTCGGACTGGTAAATACGAAATAGTACATGCCAGTTTCAATGGTGTTTAAATCCTTGCATTCAGATAGAACCGTATTCAAATACTTCAACCTAGCAAATTTGGCAGCGCAACATATTTGCCACAAACAGACCATCTTCCCAGTTGAAAGGTATCTATTCACGATCCATGTAGAAAGAACAAAACCAGGTATGTCCAACCATAATTTCAGAAAAGCTTTATCACACCGCCATCCAGCAGTGCAACTAATTAATCTGTTGTATCACTATCATAAGTTATCATCATGCATTTTACAAAGCCAGTAATTAATTATTATGCCCATCTTTCTCTCAAAGTGTCAACATAACATATATGCTTATCTCTGGAAATTTGTAGCTAAGTTAGTCGAGTAGTAGCCACCTCTTGGGTAGTAACAGGAAAACCTGGATAGGGGGCAGATATTCATGCCAATTTTGCAGCTCAAAGACAAAGAAAACATAAATATCATGGAATGGTTCAAGCATGGACAACAACATTCAATAACAAGGTTGTGAAAGAGTTATGCCAAGAAAGATAACTATAAATTGAGCATTACCTATCTGAGACTATATAACTTAAATTCTGAAAATGAAAGAAAATTGCAAGTAAACTAATAATTTTGGAAATTTTATGGAAACAGAGTAGTGCAATAATGTAAACCCATGCTCTAATATGACTCTAAGAGGAGGGGAGAAGGGGACCGTGGGTTGGAAGAAGAGTAAAAGATGGAGGGAAACATCCATCACATGAAAAAGATAGCAAGGTCATATAGCCGAAAGAAACGTTTCTTTCATCCAAATATTCATCTTAATTTTCATAATAAAGCCCTTTAAGGTTTTATTTAGTGGTGAGAGCCTCATGTGCTGTATACACCCCTTTTTCTTTTTGAAGGTTTTTTTTACTGATTAACCATTTGACTATTGCTAAGATTGAATAAGATAAAAATCTCATTTCATCTTCTCTCAGTTGAATTTTATCCTTATCACTTCTTCAATTGAAAAAATAATAACATAAGACTCTTACTTAAGTCCAGTATCCTGAACAACAAAAAGATTAATCTGGACTTAAACAAAACAGTCTTGACTCCACCTAGGTTGGACGCATAAGAGATTTTCAAGCACAATCTTACTCACTCTTATGATTATGTTTAATATAAGTATGCCAAATGTGATGTAGTGATCTTGAGAGCATACTTTTCAATTGTACAAAGATTTCTTCGGGTTCTATTCGATGCACTGTTATGATCATGTTTAATTTAAGTGTGACAAAAGTGATATAGAGTGCTCTTGAGAGCATACTTTTCAATTGTATAAAGATTTTATCAGGTTCAATTCTGCTATTGCACACACACAAGGATGCATATCAGGTCTTGTTCCATATTTTGTATTTTACCAGATAACGTCTACCACCTTCCTTCGGATAGTCGGAATCAAAAGTGAATGAGAAAACTCATCAAAAGATACACAAACTCACATTTCTTCCTCACTGACTGCCTTCACAAGTTGCCTAATGGTACAAGATGTATTATATTTACAGAGTCTCAACATGAACAAGATGTTAATATTGAATAGTGATGCAATTTATCTTGTGGATCCAGAAAAAGGACGACCAGAAGGCCATAGTCTATAATTAGCACTTGAGTCGAAAATTATTTAAAGAAGGTCGTTAATTCCGCACAAAGATGCTAAGACAAAGACAAGAAATTTATCTACATTTTTATGCCTAAAAAATATAGACTAGACAAAAAAGAAAAAAAAAAAGGGATCGAAGGGCAGGATGCCGCCGCCCCTTCACAGTTCCAAAGACCAATGAACTACCCTGTTGTTACAATATTAAAAGTATTCTGAAAAAGACGGCCCAGGCTCATGCCGACACGACGCCTGAAGAGGGTTAATATACACAGCCTTATCCTTGACAGATGGAGCAACTCATCGAACAAAGGCAGAAAGAATCACACTACAAATTTGGCATTGTTCTATGTTCGAAAAGTGATGCTCACAGGAAACATCTTGACTCCTACTAACGAAAAGGGCAACAAAAGCTCAACGAGAAGAACAGAAGGAAAGACTTGAACTTGTACCCACGAGATCACAGGAAACCAAGCCACCCGACAAAGGACCAATTGGCCAAAGCCAAAACAAGCACCGGGCGACGCACTCTCAGCCCGACGACTATCTACTTGATGACCAAAAGCACAGAACACGATGCCACAGTAGCTCCGCCCACGAAATCGAGGCCGGAGGACGTCGGATCGCGTCCAAGGGCACCACCCAACAACACAACAATTCGAACAGGCGTAATGGTGCCAAGAAAAGCAGCAGAAAATTAAGAGCTTACACATGCGTCGAGTGGAGACGGAGGCGAAGCCACGATCCCAACAAAAGCCGTATCTTTTTCCTCGTCGGGAACCCTAAGGAAAGCGAAGCAGCGAGAGAGAACGAGAAGGCGAATCTATAGAAACATTCCAAACCGTACCTTCGACAATACACCACCAGTCACTTACCGTGAGGTGGTTCATGGTCCCACATACGTGTTCCAACGAGAGTATCGGGTTCTCGTTGGGGTAGGAACAAATTGGTCCCGAGGGGAATCAGATTCCATAGGACGCGTGGCGTAAAGGACCAATCCGAACTATGCACGTGGCGGAATCCGGCTGGTCAAAAGGGGCGGGGATCTTCTACATTTGTCGATGTGTACTCGAAGTTTAGTCCAGTCAAAATGCCGTGGGAATCGAGCGTGAAACGAACTGCGAAACGTCCATATCTTATTAGTAATTAATTATTTCTTTTCCTTTTTTTTATTTTATTTCTGATGAGTAAATTTGAAGGAAATGCTTCCATTCGCTCAATGTGTGATGTTGGGGAAAGATTACTTATTACGGTAAAATTACTTAAGTTCATTCAAATTTACCTTATTTGGAATATTCATCATTTACCTTTCGAAAAAAATAAATTAAAATAAAAATAAAGTTGTTTGAAATGTGCTCACTCTATCACGTATGATCCCAATCTGGTGCGAAATTGGGCCGTCTTTGAATGGGCCTAAAAGGCTTTTAGGCCCAAAACCATAAATCCGTTCGCAAGTCACCGAGTGACCTAATGAGCCGGGCTTCGTTGGTCGTCTCTTTTCCTCCGTCGGGTCGGCGATTGGCAGAACCCTAATCTCTGAGTCCGGATCGTTCGATTGCTCCCGACACCGGATCGGAGGAGAGGAGAGGAGGATCGGCTGAACCTGGGCGGCGATGGGGAAGAAGAAGAAGAGGCCGTCGAAGATGTGGTGCTACTACTGCGACCGGGAGTTCGACGACGAGAAGATCCTCGTTCAGCACCAGAAGGCCAAGCACTTCAAGTGCCACGTCTGCCACAAGAAGCTCTCCACCGCTGGTGGCATGGCCATCCATGTTCTCCAGGTCCACAAGGAGACCGTCACCAAGTATGTTCCCCCAACCCAAATATCAATCGTCTCCAAATCCCTAAATTTGCGTTACACTGACGGATTTGAGTTTTAGAGTTTCGTCTTTTTGGATGCTGGACCGACCAACATTTTGCCCCTGATTTGTAGATGCATGAACTGTCTTTCTTAAAACGTGCCGTGATGAATGATTGTTATGTGGGTTGGAAGGTTGACATGCATAAACTTGTAGTTTTGACGGAAGAGTCAAAATTTGAAATTTTGGATTAACATTCAAGTAGTACCGTCAGTTCGAAGTTTGCCAAATTTTGGAGCTGATTCGGATGAGAAAAATTCCATTGTTCTCTTTGACTTCTTGCACTGACAACTATGATGCTCAATTAAAATTATATTATTTCTATGGTAGTAATCTCGAGAATGTTTTGCATGTTCATTGAACCCAAAGTAAAGGACAATGGTGTAAAAGGTATTCATTCATTGAAATGTGTAGTGAACCATTTGAAATAGGGATCCACACCATTATCTTTTGTCTTGATGTTGTTGGGCACATGCACAATTAAACTTTGTAATAGCTTGATGCTTTTATTTGTTAATTAAGTCAAAACATGTTATATGATGTTAAAGTTGCTTATTATTATGCTAAATTCATAAGTTTGGATGCTTTAAGAAAAAACTATTTTTCGAATTTTGAAATGAGAAGTTCAGTTTCAACAGAGTTGGCCTTCATTTGGGGCATACATAATTGATCCTAACCGAGAACTGATGATCCTACCCATAGGATATTAGGTCATCTAATTCAGTTCCATAACATAATGTATACTGTGGATCATGACAAGCATTGTTTCAGACATTAGTTAAATTCACATCCCTATTATTTCAGGTCATCTAATTCAGATCATGACAAGCATTGTTTCAGACATTAGTTAAATTCACATCTAATTCAGTTCCATAACATAATGTATACTGTGGATCATGACAAGCATTGTTTCAGACATTAGTTAAATTCAGTTCCATAACATAGGGTGGACTGAGTTTCTTTTTGTTGAGTCATGTTTTGTTATATCAGACATTAGTTAAATTCACATCCCTATTATTTTCCTTTTTTGATGTTCTAAATTCAATTCTCTCATTCAGGGTTCCTAATGCTAAGCCTGACAGAGAATCAACTGAGATTGAGATTTACGGAATGCAAGGAATCCCTCCTGATATATTAGCAGCTCACTATGGCGAAGGTAAATCTTTTTGCATGTGCTTTCTTTCTGGTAAAATTTTAATTTTTTTTTATTTTTATGATGTTCATATGTTATGCATTATTTTCAAATGCATTTGCCCTAGTGCATGCCCATGAATTGGAACCTCATCTACACATGTCTCCATCTTTGTTCAATGGTTCTTGAATTTTTAAAATTTTGAGATATCAATATATTTGTAATGAAGGTATTCTTTTGATTCTCATTATCTTCACAATGAGGATTTTTGAATGCTACATATCATCTTTTTTTTTTTCATTATATCTCATCTTGGACACATTGATATTCTCTTGATAGTGCTTTCTATGGTCCCCAAGTTTTGCACTTAGCTTATACTTTCTACTTGACCTTGTATTTCAAGAGCTTCTGTACACATGCAAAGAGGACAAGAAGCTAACAGGTCCCTTAATTTAGCAATCTGTTTGTGCTGTTCTTTCTAGGATTACAAAAAAAGTGAAGCTTCCTCTAGAGAAATTATTTTTTATTGTTACTGTGCTGAAGTGAACTTCATGGTCGTTCACAGCAGTTTCCCGTTTTGTAAGTTTAGTTTGTGGCAAGTATTTTTTCTGTAAATTAAGCAATTTACAGAATTTATTTAATTCACAGGGCAGGTATTTTTTTACTGTATCACAAATCTGATGTCGAATAAGTTGCTTTGATACAAACGATGTATGATTAGTTGAGATTAAATATAATAACTGCAAGACTCACTATGTCTAATTATCAATTTCTAGGGCTAAAGATGACAACTTTGCACGCCTAAGATGATAGAACCATTTCATTGGAAAAAGAATGAAGCATGGTATCATTTACACATATTATGATGAAAAAAAGAGTTATTCAATCATGTGTTTGTTAATATTTGATGTCCCAAAAAGTGTTGTGGTTCACTGGTCACATAATATGAGAAAATGAATTATTTATTCATTTATTGATTGATTTTCTAGTTACAATAACTTTTTTCCTTTTTTAGAACCCAAGGACAATAAAAAAAAGGGGGGATACAGAAATAAGGAAGAAAGTATTAGAAATGTGAATTTCATAAATCAAAATATATCAGCAATTTCATCTCTTCTTCATGAACATAAATTTTCAGATTTATGTTGACAAATATTTTCCTTGTTGATAAGATTTTTGTGACCGTCATCTTTCTTTTTATGTATGGAAGAAGCATCCTTGTAGAGATGAAATCTTCTATTAAATATATTACTTCATTCATTTCTTTTCCCATATAATCTTTGTTTAAATCTAATATTTGTCTTCTTGTTTCTTTCACCTGGCCTTCTTTTTTCTTCTTCTCGGGCAATCTTGGTAACTGATGTAGAATAATATAAGAAGATTTCATTTGACAACTTAAAATGTCTTCTAGAGGTCTGGCATCATTAAGGATCTGGAATTTGATTACTTTTCCATTTAATCTGTCTAGGATCGATGGTGAGATTATTTCCATTGGACCTTGTGATCTTTGCAGTCTAAGTAATGTCCAATTTCCTTCATGATGCCAATGATTTAGTTTTCTCTTAAGGATGATTTTCAGTTTGCACTTAAACATAAAAAATGTATTTAACTTGACGTGTTTCGTGAACTTGACATGGTTGACTGGACGTCATGCTTTTGTACAAGGTTCAAGGACCACTAGATGAGATGCAGTAAACAGGGGTTTGTATTCCTGTATGTTTTATGTTGATTAAATCTGTGTATCACAATCTACATATGAATTTGCTTATACCACAAAATGGTGCTGTCATTCCTTGTCATTGTTCAAGCTTATGTTGGCAGGACATGATTTGACAGAAAATGTGAGCCCCTCTCCAGAAACGGTCCATTACATAATAATGCAATCTTTGTGTTCTGTTCAATATAGCTTTTAAGAGTACCATGGTATTGAGCATTACTTGGGATTACCAAGCGTATCAAGATAGTTCAACTCCAACATACTATGGATATTCTGAACTACCAACATACTATGGATATTCTTAATATATGTTTTATGTGTGCGTTTGTAAATATTTTCCTTCTTCGGTGACCATGTGTTTGATGCAATGTTGATGCTAACTTTACCATTCTTTATAAAATTCTGGCGCAGATGAAGAGGCAGCAGCAAAGACAATGAAAATGGAAATGCCATCCACTGGGCTTGTTGGAGTTGTACCTGGTTCAATGGGCATAAGATTTCCTCCACCACCAACCTATGGTGCAGTTCCACCAGCGTATGATTTACTCCACTGATTAGATGTTTTATTATCTTGAAGCTTTCACTTTCTGTGCTGTCTCATATAAGTACAACTTCAACCACTGCTGTTGCTGTTCATGTACGACATGCTCTTCTTACAGGTTTTTTTATTTATTTAACCAGATACAATCCTGCACTTCCAGTGCCACCTCCAACATGGCCTGTTCCAGCTGCTCGTCCGCAACCTTGGTTTCCACCACAGTTGACCATTCCAGTTCCTCCTGCACCTGTTGTGGCACCACAACAACCATTATTTCCTATTCAGAATGTTATGACTCCTTTGAACTCCACTTCTGGTGCTGGACTTCAATCACCACTTCCACCTGGCGTATCATCATCCACACCACCTGCAGTGTCCCAACCACTATTTCCAATCAGTAGTCCAGCTGGTGTACCAGCTCAGAGTTCCCCATTTTTGGCAACATCCTCACCTGCAGTCATTTCCTCAACCTCCCCTATGATGTTGAAAGGTGTAGCTGATGCAAATCCTGTATCAAGTATTGCTGCAAGTGGTTATGTTGCTCTAAACAATTCAGGTGCAAAATTCAGTTTATTTTGAAAGCTTCTTATCTTGTATGGTCTCCTTAGATTCATGTGATGAACCTATATGTTTGAAGGTTCTTTGGAGATCTGTCGGACTGAAATTGTACTTAGGACTAAGTAAATATTTTGTGCTATTGTTCCTTAGGTGTTGTTTCATATACAAATTCACATGTGTATGCTTCTGGTCCAAACACTGAGAACCCTTCAATTGGACCTCCACCTGTGATATCCAACAAACCCCCTGCTTCCCATCCCACCGCAAATGAGGTGTACTTGGTTTGGGATGATGAGGCAATGTCAATGGTAACTATTCCTAGTCTAGCATTTATAATTTCTTGGTTGAATGCCTTATTCATACTTTACTCTCTTTTTTTTTATGTTCTTTAACATGGGATTGTTGTGCAGGAAGAAAGAAGAATGTCTCTACCAAAGTATCAGGTGCATGATGAAACTAGCCAGGTAAGTTGCTAGTGCCTTCTGTTTATTCGTTCTAATGAATTGAGATGAATGTGCAATTTGGTTGCAGATCTGGATAGGTAGGTTGACCTATTCCTTTTAGATTCTTCGTACTATACTTAATTGTACTTAATAGTTGATAAATCCATCAGAATCTAGACTCCACTAAGTTTTTGGCCCTTTTGAGTTTACTACTAGGACTTCTTTTCTAATCAATTTCTAGTTTCACCCTTCTGGTTGATGGGGAAAGAGTTTTTTTTCCTTAAATTGCGACCTTTAACATGCTATATATAATCCAGTCGATTTTCTGGGGCATCAAAGTTTCCAAGTAGGTATTTACATTTATTCTTTCTGCTAGTTAGTGGTACAAATCTGACAAGCTTGTGCTGCAAAAGACTCAAGGGTCCTCAACCTAGCACCAGGCCAGTGCGAAAATGTGTATGTATTTTGTTCTGATTAAAATTTTAATTTCTTGTATGTGGTATTTATTCTCCCTATTGCTTGTTAATGAGCTTGGGGGCTTGGATGGCACAAGATATATCCCGACAGGCTTTTCTCAATTCGTAGCATTTCTTGTTATCTATATTTGATCACAGTGTGCGACAAGAGTTGGCACAGGTCAGCTTTCATTCATAAGCAAGTTTGGTACCTCTTGCGTAGCTAGATAATTAGACATGAAGAATGGTAGTAGCATGCTGTATGAGCACTTACTCGAAGGATCTGTCTGATTAATTTTCTGCCTGCATGTTGAAGCAGATGAACTCTGTCAATGCAGCCATAGACAGACGGATATCTGAAAGCCAGCTTGCAGGTCGTATGGCTTTCTAGTCTTTTTCCTAGTGCTGGAAGTTGAAGTCTCTTTGGCGATCTTGGAAGGACTTGAGATCCATAAGCAACAAGCTTCAATGATCCTTCTGAATAAATATGCTCTTCATCAGAGGTTGGTTTGTCTGTCAAACGTATCCATAGACAATTTAGACGAGTTTGTTGTTTCATTTGATGATGAATAGGCTGTGAGTTATAAGTGTAAAGGTTTTGAACGGTTCTTCTATCAAGATTCTCAGCAGTTCTTCAGAAACTAATACCACTGCTTCATTTTGGTCATTCATCCTCATTTTAGCTACTGGCAATGATCTCGAAGTCGATTATAATCTCCTCTACACCTTAGGTCAAACAATATTCCAGGAATACAGATGAGGTTCTGTAATTTTTTTAGGAACGACTTATTTTTCATTTTTCTCCTCTAGAAGTCTTTTTTATTTACTATTAGAAATACAAAAGTTTCACAAATGAATAAGTATATATATATATGCATATATGTATTTACTTTGATATGTTTTTGGTAAATAAGTGGTGAAGATGAAACTTGATTTTAGGACATTGTGACAATGTTGTATAAAATATTTGCATCTTAAAATTATTATTTTGTGTTAATTTTATCAGATGTGGTCTCATGTCCTCGTGAGGTCTAGATTAATTAGATATATTACTATCATATTAATACTTCAAATATAAAACATTTATAAATAATATTTCGAATTTTTATTTTGAGATGAGTGGACTAGTCATGTATGTCATCGTTAAATAATTCTTTTTAAGATGTCAAAGGGTTTGTCAATAATCAATAATATTTAATATTCTTATGGTGTAAATACCAATGTTTTATGTAATATTTCACGTATATGCCATAATGGTATTCGATACATATCAACATATTAAAATAAAATATTAATTTTTTACCATGCAAAGTTTATCATATCGATCGTCGTGTCTTTATGATCTCCTCTTAAAAAATAGAGAGTAAAATAGGACTAAATTAATTGTCGTGAGAGGGTAATAAACCATGTGGTATGAAAAATCTAAAAGTAAAAAAAAAAAAAGATTAAATTAACGACATTAAACCTCTTTGATCATAGTATTTACTGCCCTCTTATCCAACACTTTTCTTTCTCTTCTTTAATCACGGCCATAATGAAAACCCTAATCAACCGTGACGTGAAACAATAAGAAACCCCCAAAACCCGCAGCAACAATAAACCCTCCCCCCTTCTCTCTCCGCTATTCCTCTCTGGTGGTGGTTCTGGTTGTGGCGCGAGTGGGAGTAATGATAGCCTTGAGAGCCATCTCTAGGGTTCTCTCCTCCTCTTCTCCTCCGCCTCCTTCTACTTCTAAGATTCTTAGCTCTCATCTGTATCGATCCTGCCTCTCTCGATCCTTCGCCGCCCGCGCCCTACGCCAAACCCCCGCCCCCGCCCCCGCCGACTCCGACGCCGACCTCCCCTCCGCTGACTTCGACAGCTCCGCCTTCTCCCTTCCCACCCAGGCTCCGACCGCCCCCAAGAGGCCGATCTGGGACGAGGCCCACCGCGCGAGGGCCGACGAGGTTCTTTTCGGGAAGGCGGCCGCTCAGAGCCGGAGCCACCCGGAGGTGGTGGAGGACGAGGACGAGGACGAGGAGAGGGAGAGGTCCACCAGGCTTGCCAGGGCTCTTCTTGAGGCGGCGCTGGGTCAGCCCGATGAGGATGAGGAAGAGGACATGGTGGTCAAGGAGGAGGATCAGCGGTCGCTCTCGGTCGGGATCATTGGTGCGCCCAATGCTGGCAAGTCTTGCCTGACGAACTTTATGGTAAAGTTGTGGCTCTTTTATGCACTCGATCTTGGATTAATTGTGACCCTCAGCAACGTTCAGCTATTGCTCTTCGGGTGGCTTCTAGTTACTGACGTTATTGGTGTTGGTCGTGCTGGAATCTGAGTTGTGATTACATTCTAGATACGTTCTCTTCTTGAATGATATGGATGACTACTAACGTGTTTGTTTTTGTACTAATTTCTCACGCCAAAAAAAAAAATCTCGTCTTGGTTTTTAATTTAATTATCTTATTTTGTTTGCTTCTACGAACAAATAAGAAAGAATAAAAGGGGGAAAAAGCACCATGAACTGCTAAGGATTTCTGTATGATAAAGTGTTTATTGTACTTCTTGAATGAATTTTGGACTGGTTTAGAAAAGGTGCTGTTATATGCTGAAATTTTCTGGATACATTATTTATTGTGGTCCTTGAATGTAACTTTTTGCAACATTCTGAAATATTCTAGTGTTGTGACTTATTTGTATGCTACACTGATCTGTGATTTTTTTCAGCAAGCATTTCTGCTCTTTATTGCAGAAATTAATGCTGGATGCTCATCCAGCAATGACTCTCATGTTAAATACTTTAGTAGCACTTTTATACCTATTTTGATTTTATATATCTTTCAAGCATTATGTTCCTTCACTTCCAAATCATATGCTTTTTCCGTAACATCTACACGTTGATTTTCCTCATTCTTTGGTTTTTTTAATTGTTCCTCTCCCACAGCTTTTGGCTTGTTCTTGGTATGCTTACAAAATGATCCTCCTATTTGCTATGGGATCTATTTTCATTGGTTTATCATATATTCTTAGTAGCATATGAATATTGAAGACTCTAGTCTTATTATTAACCAAACTCAGGTTGGAACAAAGGTTGCTGCTGTCTCACGGAAGACTAATACAACTACTCATGAAATTTTAGGAGTGATGACGAAAGGAAATACTCAAATAGTATGCATCATCCCTTCTCATTTTCTTTGGTATCAGAAAGCCAATAGCATTTACGTATTTGTTCTACTTTCATATTGTTAATTATTTATGATTGTACAAATTTTTTTGCTTGATGAAAATCAGTTTTTATAAAGAACTAGATGGTAATGGCTCAGTTGGTGTCTTTGCCGTTGAATAATTATGCAGTGCTCAGCTCATAGTATCAGGTTTGTGCCTTCACAATATGAAAATTTTGGGGTATGGTGGAAATCTGATCTTATGGACATCATAATATGTTGGCAAAGCAAGTACAGATTGATTATATTTTATAACTAAAGGGTTGGTGGAAGCATAGGTTTATGTATTTTTTTATTCACATGTACGATTTGAACAGAGAAGAGTCAACTAGGGATGTTGGAATTGATAGAAGGAATTTGTTTCCGTTAAGCACCAAGACTTTAAAAGATACTTCTTAAATTATCAAATAAAAAATAGCATAAGGAAAAAATAGGGTGAACAACAAATTTATTGTATTAGCCTTTACAAGCAAGAAGGTCATTACCATATTGGCAGCATTTAGTTGTAGGAGAAAAGACCTACTTTTGCATTGATTATATAATAGTTACAAATTTGTGTTTAAATTGATTACCCAGGTCTACATAAGGAAAATCAGGGTTTTTAATTTTGTACCGTGTCGCTCTGTACGGGCAATACGTATCGGTCTGCTAGCAGACCAGCATGTGAACCACTCACTACCAGACGGTATCAGGTTTCTGGCCCCATATCGGGCGATACAGGGCTATATTTGGCAGTAACGATCAAAATTTCGATCGTTACCAACTTGTATCAGGCGTTACATAGCAGTTGTCGCCAGCTAAGCGAACACGCCACTCCCCTTCAGCATTACATTCTCTCAGTGGTCATCGTAGCGGTTGCCATTAGCCTAGATGAGCGCCCTACAGTTGGATATTAAGTTGTTTCGCCACTCGCCGACGTACTAGTTCTTGCTTCGCCACACGTACTGGCTGCAACTCTCCTGTAGGTTGCACCACTAATCGCCCTCGTGATAGTCGTTGTTGGAGTGTCACTTGCATCTGAACCCGTGCTCTCGGTTGACGACATAAGAGTCGGAGTAAGCGTTGCCCTCCGACTTGGTGAAGGTCCCGAAGCCTTCCATTCAGCCGGAACAGAGCTCGCTTATGAAGGTCGTGTTGGAGGGCCACGAGAACTTTCCCTTTTCGGAAGCCTTCCTCCTCCGCACTCCCCCTCGTGCATGTACCAATCAGCCCTAAGGCACTTCGCCCATCAGTGGGGGGAGTTCTCCTTTGCGCCCACGATCAAGTACAAAAACCCTAAGTTGCTTCATGTTCTTCGCTCGTTATGCAGGCACGGTACGAGATTAAAAACCTTGCAGAAAATCATTCTCGTTTTTGTGTTATGAAGGATTAGCCTGTAACATCTTTGTCCTTGTTGATTTGTGATTGCATTCAATAACTTAGGAAGTATTGTTTCTTGTAGCTTTGGATGTTCAAAATAGTGTTTAGCCACTATGACAGAATAATTAAAATGAATACAAATGACTTAATTTGGACTTCTATAATGTGACTCTTAAGACCAGGTTCATAGTCAGGTTTGGAGGCTGATATGGAACACAGGATCGGATCTTTTCTGAAAGAATCAATTTCAGCCGAACAACATAGGATGTCAACTAGGATTAGTCAAAATTTTGTTGGATTTGATGAGGACCATTGAGATTAACCAAAATCAACAGTGTGTCACTCAATCCAGCATGCTGAGCCATCTATAATACCGGGAATTTGTTGTAACATGATCAAAACTAGCAGAAACTAGCCATTGGCTGGAACTCAGTTAAAATTTACCAGTACTTTGCTGAACTGGCTGGAATTGGATTGAACTTGATTAAGTCTAATCGAGTCAACGACCAAGTTGTTCATCCCCATGAACCATGGTTATCCTTGATAAGGTGATGATGGGATTGAGTGATCATTGTATAAACTAAGCAAGCATTGCTTGATGATGTGTTGATTAGTATATAATCTATCAACAGTCAAGGGGGGATTGGGAACTTTGGGTAATGATGAAGTGATAGGCATTTCCTCATCTCAGTAGGGTTAGTGGGTCCTGGCAAGGTACTTTGTTTGTAGTGCATAATTTGCTACAGTGACAAGATTAATTCTACATTCAACCTTGAGAAATGCAAAAGGTTAGGATATTTTAGAAATAATTGTTTGCTACTGAAAATAGCTGTTCTAGATCAATAGTAAGTTTTTTATGTTTGTATGTATCTCAAGCATTCAATTCTCATTTTTATCATTTAGAACTAGTTGATCAAGGGATTAAAAGCATAATCATTAACTTGTGCAGACAATTATTTAGTACAGCGATGACCCCATTGGCAACTTTGTCATGCTTAACATGGCAATGAATTCTCATTGCCATTTTTGGTGAAAACTATGTTGCTATTACAATTTTTGGTGAAATTATGCAAGTCAAACTTTAGTTGATATACCTGTGTAGTAAGT